CCAGCTAAAATATGTTAAACACATTTGGTGCAAAGAAAGGGATTTACTCATCTGAAAATTTGTTTTACGAAATGATAGATTTGAGCAGTATTACTTTCACTATTAGAATTTGATGCCTTGTTGTCTTTCAGTATAATCCAGATATATACTGTGATACTAAACATCAGTATGCACCAATAAATATGTATATAACGGTTTGAAAATGACTATAGACTGGACTTCTGCTTTTGTTGTGAGGGGAACTGTTCGGGTGATAGCCGAAATAAATTCCGTCAGTTTGTAAAGCAAATATTCAAACGACTATATGCCTTTAAATATTAAAACATAAACCAATGACCAGATCCTGCACTCCTTCTCGATCGAACTGTTTCTCTTGTTAAAATCTGGTTTCCCTAATAACACAGATCCTCCTGATTCTTTTTTACAGTATTCGAGAAACAGAATGGCGGTATCTGGCAGAAAATGAGACGACCGTCTTTCATCAGAGTATAAGGTGTTTTAGATGTCGATCCCTTTTGTAAGTAGTGGTTTCGGTGTTACTGCTCAATATTCTGAAGTATATTATGTTCCTCTCTAGTTGCTAAAGTATTGTGCAGCAAAACACTATGGTCTTCTTTCTATCCCTGTATATTCCAGTCGACAATTTATTGCTAACATACAATATTTTGCAGCATAGTTCTTTCAATACAATTTTACTGTATAAAACAGTCAATATTTTTTTTAAGTCTACCTTGATTTTATCGACGTCTTACAGCTTTAATTAGGACTAAAACGGTATTAAAGAATAGTGGAGAGTTAATTAAGGATAGTTGGTATCTTGAAGAACTGATGGAACTGCATACTCTACACTGGTTTATGGACATTGAAGTGTTAAAATGGCCCTGAAGAATGTGGGAATATTAACCATTATTTGAAGATTGAGAATAATGTTCACATTCCTTCTAATTGATACCATATGAGTTTAGAGATTCTTGGTTTATTTCTTGTCAGAATTCATCAAAGACTAGATCATATTGTTTCTGGTATATCAGTATACTCTTAAAATAATAGACATTAGACTAATGAGGACACCACATGATTAATTAGACAATAATTATTAAAGAGTGTATTTATCTGAATGAGCCATTAAATATAATGTGCCAGTACTGGTAAACATGAACTGATAACAGGACAGGGGTCAGAGGATTCGTTAAAACCGAAACAAACAGACCCTCTGGACCACCTGCAGCAATTCTACTTCATTTCACACTTCAGAATGGTTCAAAACGCCCCGTCTCATTTAGCCTATTTATTTCGTTTTAATTAGATACCTTTGGATGCGGACTTATTGTATAAAGAAGGGAGTTCCTTTGATGTGCAGAATAAAAAGGATAGAAAAAGTAAAATGAAATGGACACGTATTAGGTCAACTAATCATAGATTTCAGACAAATCTGTAAATTGACACTTTTTCTATCTGGGACGTCACCATAATGGCTTTCATCTAACCCAAATTAATTAATCAAGGGAATCACCATAGGCATTCAGTCACTATTGGCAGCAATATAGATCTGCCCACGGATAGGATGGGGATAAGACTGGGGTTAGAACTATGATACACGCTTCCCTGGAGCATTCCCATGACAATTCCTTACCCCGACAAGTTATTTAGTAAGCAGTCGTGGTCTAAAACACTAAATTGACATATTATAGAATAGGAAAGGAGAAATTATATATCATATTATATGTTGTAAATATAATGTCAATATTATTATTTCATTATAGATCCAAACACGACATAATGATATCATGTTCTGTCACATAATCAACATTATTATATTATTAAAAGGACATGGCCACTAAAATAACAAATCTTAGTTTCTATGTAAAATCGACGTAAAGAGCATACAATCGAAATGATAATGACAAGCTTGTATTATATTGTCAAAAAAGATTTCAGAACTCTAATCATTTGAATTTAAAAAATAATCGCTTAGTAGTAATCCTTTTAGCAATTAAACTTAAATATCAACAGGTGGAAAGGACTTAGCATGGATCGATAAGGCCATTACGGACTTGGTGAAGTCAATAAAAGGATCTTTTCGACTATTCTCGTGGATAAAAATTTGTACCGGTCCTGCCTATGTAACAAAAAATATACTTTTGGTTTGGTACAACTTGGTCTTAGCATCTTTAGCATATTATAATTATCCGGAATTCCAGTTATATTTGAAGAGTCCGTTGTTGTTCTTTAATCACACTTACAAAATATCAATATATTTAATAATTTTGTCCTTTTCAAGTATAGCAGAATAACATAAGAATAGCATTCCCTTACAGACAGCATAAAGACTAATATTTTAGATAGCAAGAATAAAGCCTCTGCCATTGTACCTGTTCCATTTGAGTCGTAACAATCCACAATGTCAAGCTATAATGAACATTTTATACACTGACTTCAATATCCAATTGACATTGATATCAATATCACAGAAATTTGTAAATACAGCGATTTGATTGGATTGTACGCTAGCGAATACAGCCAGTCAGGCCTCGACAGAAAGTCTGTAAAAAAATAAGCCATAATGTCTGCAGTCTAACTATCAAGGAACCTGAATGGCTGTATTTTTTGGTCGAATCGCTGCATTCCATGATACAAGAAAGGTGGCTACTGCAGTCAAGATATAATATGAAGTTCATAATAGCTTGACATTGTGAAGATGTGGTTGTTTTCTAGACCAATATACATGTACCACAATATACACCAAGTCTTTTTTCAAGTCGATGAAATGACATTTATCGATTTTTTGAGAATTAAAAAATTCTACATTATTCTTAGACACCACCCACCCCACTCTACTGTAATTATTTTGTGCTCAGCCACTGCGAACATATCGTGTTCAGATTTTGAGAGCGTGTTATAATACGTGTCATTAGCCATGAGTGAAATTATACAGTCGGTGATAATGAAAGGGCATTAATCTTATTATATAATGCTTATAATTACAGTCTGAAAATTTCCAGTGTCTGCATTAAAACAAGAACTGGGTGAAAGGAAGGGTAGGGTTGTAGCTATATAGTAGGCCTTTTGAAAGCCTGGTATATTCTGAGGATCTGATTCTGATAACTAGGCCAGGTGTGTTTTTTGTATGGGTAAGTCATGTATCCTCATCTTGGATCTCATGTCAGGAATCCTATTCAAATTATTCGACCATCTAAATGTCATCTAGTGTTTCAGTTATTTATCGGTTGCTATAATTTCGATCATAACCAGTGTTTAAGGTATTTATCGGGCTTCTATTAGTACGATCATACACAATGATTAAGGAATTCATCGAGTGGTATAAATATGATCATACACATAGTTAAATTATCCTCATATCATTTGATCTCATATACACCTAACTGAATGTTGCAGTGTTGTACAATGTAGTATCATTGTTTAAAATCTGACTGCATCTGTCCATTGTTAAAATAAATAATAGATATTGGAATATATTCTGAAATCATATAATAAATCAGTTAAACCATCAAATTACTTCAACATATGACACGAGCTATTAGAACGGCAATTGACCTGTATTATTTTAAATCAAAATGTGGACTTTGGTTCAAGATGAATTTAGTTTTAATGTTCGACACAATATTCAAAGTTCAACACCATTTCAATTGTTGTTTTGAAGTATTTGGAAGACGCGTGTTGAACCACCTGTCCCAACATATGTCCGATAAGAGGCTCGGTGATAATAGCTCGTTGTAGTCATTTATAAAAACATTTGTCAGCCGAAGATGAAGTTTTGAAGATTAAAGGATCAATAATTGATATATAACATTCCTGTGAAAAGTTATTATTTTCATGTCGAATAATAGCCAGGTGTTAATCGTCTTGCTATTTAATAATGTGCCTCTTTTCATGGTCGTCTGAAGAAAATGTTTCTTCTTTGTTCAATCTAGCTTGACAGCTGTTAAAGCAGAAACATTAGACATTATGGAGATTTTTACCGCCTAAACTTTTATGAGTGGAAATAGCAAGCTCAGCATTAAAATATTTTAGATATTAATTGTAAATGGTTCTCATACATCATTAGTCTTACCTAGCCTTAGGCATAGAGCTATATTATGACAATAAAGTTGTTGGTGCAGTTGTAGCAAGATAATCTAGAGACGAGATGAACCCTTGGGATCGTCCAAACTATATTATATCATCCCAATGATTAAGGATAATAATGTCTCATTTCATATCGACCGCAATTCAACTTTAAGCTTTTTAAACCAAAGCTTAGATTTTCGTGATGTAGTCTATGATGCAGGCCTAACATAACATACAAAGCTCATTAGTATTTAGTGTCAGAGTAAACTATATGATAACATATTATGTTGACTGAAATAATCATAATGCAAGCTTAGATTATGCATTAAAACACACTTGGGGTCCAAAAACCACAGGCTTTCATGTGCATAACCATTAATATTACATTAATTGTGACAATAAAACTGCGTAGTGAATAGAATAGCATGTGTAGGTATATATTAGAGATATAACACTGACCACAAGATAATAATATATCACAGTACATAATAATTATAGCCATTATTTTCATTGTGTCAGAAGGAGAATAGAGGTTGCTAAGACAACTAAATTTAAGAGATCACACATTAATTATAACGGACATAATTACATACATTTACTCTTATTTTAACATCAACCTGATAAAATTTCTTATCAAGGGTTGAAGTATAAACAATATTAAGCCTAGTTTAAAGCTTGCTCCAGGCCCCTGTCTTACAACAATCCTTCTATTTACCATATCATACAAATACCCTATTGTTCACAACATGAGACCATAATAAAACTGCTTGGTTTCAACATGCTAGAGATATAATATTGCCCCTTGTGGAGATTTAATTCACTTGTGATCCCAGGATTTAGCCATTAATGGATTCACTATGACTTATAAAGCCCCAGTTATTATTTTTATAAATCCATGGGTAATAAATATAGAAAATAATACACAAAAACTTCAAATGTCATTTTATAATGATCATTTTATTCCTCAAAATGAGAAGTTTGAACAAATAAAATTAATTTGTCATATGTACACAAATGTCTAGGTTTCTACAATAGACCAGTGGAATCCTACTGGTAATAGATACAACAACAATAAAATGTTAAAATATACTGAGTTGTATTGTTGATAACAACCTCATACTCTCTAACAAAACTCAGTTTTTAACATACAATAATAACAAATAATCTTACAGCATCGCTTGCCACGTGTACATGGAATTCCCACAAAATAATAATATTAAAATAATAATAATGACAACAAGTCATGATCTAACGATTTGACCATGTTTTTTTTTTCTAACTTAGCACTTGAGAGTTAATGGTAACCTTTAACCTCAAAGCTATAGGAAACCGGGAGTAATAGATATAATACAAACTACATCAAACTCAAGATAGAGAATGAAGTAGGCACATTTTATTGTGTATCTTTTATACTCCTGAAAACTACAGTAGGACAAGGTTGGTGGTATCACAGACTATACTAGATATTATTTGATCTTAAATAATAGCACCATGTATTGTTTAGTGCGCTCTTTATTTTTAAAACATCTTGATGGAAATGTTTTGAGGTGGTCATATTTGCCCTATAATTCATTATATTTCTTTTAATAATCTCAACTAAAATTCTGGAATAAATAAATAAAAACAAAGAGAAAGGTATAATATAGAGAATAATATACCCTGTTCTAATAACATTACATTAGATGATCACCAATACTGGTCTTTTTCAAAATCTTTAAAATTTCTTCTTAAAAACACCAAATATATGATTCATTCTAAAAATTGGGTTAAAAACATGTTTGAATTTCTTCAAATATAAATAGATAGAGAAAAATAAAGAATTTAAAAGGAAAATTTAACAAGAAAACAAATTGGACAATATTAAGCATGCAGTAAGATTGTTTTAGTTAAATAATTAAGTACATGAATGTTTAAGATTTGCTACTAAACTAAAATTAAATCTTTAAAAGATTTATCAAATAACAATATATTATTACTTAATTTATAGACCAAAGTCAATAAACAAAATATCTTTAAATTATGTTTTGTGTATTATCTTACAAACTAGATTTCAAATGAAAAGGTGCTATAATAAATAAGGAAAGAAAGTTTTTAGCAGTATTGACTGAAAGAGTAGAGAGTAAGAAGAATAAAGATATGTTATAGAAATATTGCTAAATATTATTATATTATCAGATCCTGAACAAATTATCATCAGATTATTACAACTGACAATTGGCACATGTTGAACAAAATATTTGATCTTAATCCGTTATCCACATTATATCACATTTCTTTCACAATAGATTCATTGCACATATAAAATAGGTCAAAGTCAACTTCATATCAATTCTTATCTAAGAATAGTGAATATTCTAAGAGATAATTTTACATGAATTGAAATTAAGAATGAGTTCTACAGCAGCACTAAGTTTCAACAGAATCAAAACACTCTCTTCAACCAAAAATATATACTAGAACCTTATTACTTCTATATCATTGTAATAATAGATAAATCAACCATCTTAAAGTTTTGGACAATCTTCAGATATACTGTCTCAGTCAATGTCACTAAGAATCAATATAGACTCCCACAAGAAAAATAAGACAGTTAGCAGATGAAATATAAATGATCAGCAAAATTTCATAGAATGACTTGTTGAGTAAGTATCTATTTACATATCAACATGAATTGATTAGGCTCGGTTTTTTGTTACTTATCGTTTCAATATAAATATATATAATAGCTACCTCAAGATACCTATGGTTTTATACATATCAACAGTAACTGGTTACTATGATGTTATATTCCCCATAAGGCGTGCAATAATCACTGGACTGGTTATATAATATTACTAGATATAGTTGGAAGGATATCATAAATAAATAAAGAATATAACCAGTGAAATACTAGGCATTCAAGGTTAACCACCTTTTGACTTATGTTCACTTTTCCTTCTTGGCTGAAAACCAATGTCTATTTTTCACTTGATATGCCTAGTATGTCAATGGTAATAACAGAATTAATATTCCATGTACACTATCTTTTTAAACCTCAGTCACTCTGGACTATATTTAGTAGTCTTTTTTCCTAGACATCTTGTCACATGACTGCCAACTCCTGGCAAAAACACAACATAAAAATAAAAGAATTCTGTATAACCATTGGCTGCCAACAACATCGTTATGAATTTCATCTCATCTACCAGACAACCAGACAAATACAGTCTAGAGTCTAAAACTAGTGAGCTGTCAGAACTATTCCTATATTAACCAGTATCACATGGCAACAAATACGGCATCAACTCCATCAGAAAGATTGGCAGAAGTTAAAACTTTGGATTAATAGAACATATTGTCTCCATGTACATATCATCTTTATACTCCTCCTCTTTCAACAGATCTGACTTTTTTTCAATTCATTTCTAAGTATTTTATGTTTTTTTTGTAAGTTTTAGTTTTTATATTTTTATCACCATTACGACATCCATCATAATGCTAGGAAGCATTAATACAATGATGGGATGTATAGAACTCATATCAGAGAACATCAGAACTATTTGAATCTTCCATATAAGTTAAATTGTTGTCTAAACCACAGCCATCACTGCCACCACTGAGAATGCTGCTATGATCATCGGTATCACTAGGAGAGCTATTATAGCCCAAAATATCTACTTCATCTGAAAGGAGAAATCAATGAACCAATAAGTAGTTGGTATATACTTTAAAAGCCTATGAAATGCTCAGTTTTCAATATTCAGAGGTAAAAGTTTTTTTCAGAAATACACAGTATCTAGATCAGAAATATTACTTATAAAAAAATCTTCTTCAAAATTTGAACAAGTGTCACAAACCTTTTTTGAAATTGGAATCTTGTTACATTATTATGTCATAACATCAGTATAAAGGGAGACAACTTACCAGATTCTGATGTTGAGGTACTTGTGGAGTTGGTTGAAGTGCTACATTCACTAATACTACGCTCCTGTCTAACCCGATACTGGCCAGCAGTAAGGGTTTCCAATTTACGCTGTAAATGGCGTCTCTCCCTGCGTAAGTTTTCTTTTTGGCATGCTTGCTTTCGTTCTTTATCTTCCAACAGCTGTTAAAGAAAAATGTAACTTATTATAATTTATCAATATTCAAAAAAATTTCAAGTTTACATAAACCATACTGACTTTCCTGTACACATTACAGAAACTTGAGGCAAATACAGGTTTTCATCACTTTGAAAAAAAGAAAAAAAATTATAATAGGCCTTCTGTTATAACAAGCATCAGTGATTTAGAAAGTTGAAAACACATGGTTGAGTGCATAATCTTATGCATTAATTAGTTGCTCAGATTTCAAGCTTAAAAATGTCACTGCTTTTGAAAATATCACATAAAGACACCAACACCCCTTTATCACATATATATTTAAATTGTTTTCAGCCTATTGCATTGACATACATATTTTAGTTATACAAGTATAAGAATATGCCATTCACAGTCAGCATGATTGTATAGCTTACTGCAACAAAGTTATTTTGACATTTCTGTTCTATTTACCGAATGAACTCATGAGCTTGTGCTATAAGTTTAAGTTTCTTTCTAATAAATGAGATTTTAACGACCCAACATCACATTTCTACTTATTACAGACCTTTGAATTTGTTCATTTCATTACAATTTACAAATGATACCTTAACAAACCTACAGTAGTAAAAAAACATTGATATTTTAACTCAGTATACAAAGTTTTACTTTTCTTAATGTTTTGTCTCATTTTTTAAATCAGGAGTATATAGACATTAATGTTTTACTTTAAATATAGCATAGTTACTGTGTAGTACAAAATATAGATTATGCTTTTGTATTTATTATAGCCAATACAAAATATTACTGCCATTTGTTAGTGATATTGAGGGTTGTTTTGTTATTTAGTCTATTTATAAGTTTACTTCTATATAGCCCATGATATTGGCTGCCTATCAAAATCTTAAACATCATACTGAACTTACCTTGATAAAGCCTTTTGCTTTAGTTAAAAGACCTAATGTGGTATGACGTGAGGTATCTTGACCTAATGGTACTATTGACTTTAATTGTTCTAAACAATTTCTCAGCTGAGCTCTTCTGCAAAATATAAATAGTTTAACACATTTAATATAGGTCCCATAATGGTTTCTTCGAAATCCATAACAATTTCACTATAAAACTCAGGAATTTAATATTTTTTTTCCACACCACTAGCCTACTCTTTCCTCTGAATAGATGAGCATAAGAATTGAGCTTTATCGCCAGAAAATGCAAATATTTATTTCTACAATAATCCATTTAACATATCCAGATCAACTGCACTAGCTTTCAAATTGCAAAAAATGAATCCTGGTAATCCTGTAAATTTTTCAAAAGTAAATGTTCAAAACACCAGGCTCAAGACATAAAAATACCCTGTGCATAAAGAGTTTTTTAAATGAGGTTTGTGGTATATTTGAGTATCAGGGATATGAAACCATCAGTTACAATATTGTATGATTGTTGTTATCTCATACTTATAAACATATACAATGTAATGTATACATTATGTCAGAGAGGCAAGCTAACCTGTTTATATTATGACCTATAAATCTATTTATAAACTCTGTATCCCAGCAGCCTATTTCAACACATTATATATATCCTTTACATTAGTGAAAATACTCAGGACTTCAGTAAGTATAATCCAAGTCAATTCCTAGTTATTATTAATGATAATCCAATCACTAGTTTCCACACCGACTCCAAATACAAAGAAATAATCAATATTCCAACAGAATTGATTAGTACTAAGCTCCTCAAACCTGATTGTTTACTTTCTAATAGGATGACCTAATTTTAATCAATACGAACTATGGCTAGAAAGTTCCATTATTACCTACCTATTTTTCTCCAATTCGTTATGTGATGACCTGAAATATAACAAAAAAGATTTTATTATGCATGATGAAATATGCTTATAGTATAGCAACTAACTTATCAAAGAGATAATGAGAAACGAGATAAACATAAACACTACGCTCCCCCTCCCCCTTTCCAAAAAACAAAAGTCCTAATACACACATATAAAAAACAAAAGAAATATCTATCATTATGAAAGAATATTACAAAATTTTGAATTCATATGAATGAAGAACATCATTTTAGCAGATGGGACCAAACTAAATGTTAAATTATTCATAATAATAATTAAAGAGGCTGTTTAGGAGAGTCAAAGGGCTGGCAGTATTTTTCAGAATTTACAAGAAGTAAATAATAACGGTCATATTCAACAAGATTGACACAAAGAGACACTTTGTTGTTGACAATAAATAATCGACAGTTACCATTGGCGCACGCGCCAAAACACATGCAAATTTTATGTGGGCGAGTTGAAAAAAATTCCATAAAGTATTTCCCAGAGGGATTTAAGATATTACGTTTCCTACGCTGAAACAAATGTCAAGTGTAAATAAATCCAGATATGCAATGCTAACCATTGTAAACAACTTAATACTGCTTTAAAACAGTCGTAAATGTCATAAACAACCTCTCAGCACTCAACCTGTCAAAATGACTTCACTCAACCCAATAAAAAAAAGTCGATTAACAGGGTTGCAATAAAGCACCCATGTTTTGCACTACGAAACGTACATTCATTAGAATAAGTCAATGATGGAAACTGTAATGTTTACAAGGAATAAACCTAGATTTATTTCTCCAAGATACTAACAAAATGAAAACAACGAAGATGGCGGACTCCATCCGTCCGCATGACTTTTGACAAGAATGATATTTTTTTTTTCAACACCTCTTTTGGAGTCTAAATTTCAATAAATCAACGTTGCCACATGAGAGTTTAACACAAAATCCAATTGGAGTGAAAAATAGAACTAAAATATTCCTTTTTCCATGGATGGAATTATGGGCGGTAAAATGACAGGCGAGCAGGCGGGCAAAATCAGCTGACAGCTGACCTGAAATCACAAAGATCCATTTTTTCATATTTCATAAAATGTCGAATTTGGCATACCTATTTCCTTGTCCTTTCTTTCCTTTCGTCCTCTTTTTGGAATACGTATCTGGCATAGGTAAAGTGGATGCATAGCCATGTTCGGCTTCTGAAAGAGAAACGAAAACAAACGCATGAGAATCCCACATGAGAGCTGTCAGTGTCAAAATGGAGCCAATGCAACGTGGCAATGTTATGAAAAAATGTATTTTTTCCACAAAATACATACCTCTTTCTCTTCTTTCAATGAAATCTGCAGCTTGTAACAACTGGGCAATACTCTGCATCATTAAAATAATTTGCAAATTCCTTTAATCGATGGGGAATGGATGATAAAATCCACACAAAGTTGCTTCCCCGAATGTTTTGGACCTAAATAAACGCACGTTGAGGCAAGACTAGCGCGAGCTATCGTTTTGTTTACCTTCTATTTGAATAAGAAATTGTAACGAAGGATTTGATTGGCTGATGACGTCAGCATAAATTACTAATAATATGCAGCAGAATGGACCAATAAAAAAGAAGAGATGGTAACCACGTGAAAGGGCCACGCCTTATTCTGTGTTTATATCTCATGACCTCGTGACGATTAGGATTTTTTACACTTTGATTGTATGCAGAATTGGGGCCAATCACGGAAATAAACATCTTACGAAAAAGGGAAAAAAAAATAATTCACGTGCGTGTTAGATATAAAAAACAGTATGATTGCCAGTTTCCAAATTCTACTAAACAAATGTACAGTTTTTGTGAAAACTGGGTCATATCGGCCTTTTACACACAGTGGTTTGTAAACAAAGTGGTCTACTTTCCTAGTCTCATACTGATAGCAATGTCAAATTTAGTTTGCAATGTACGAATACGTAGTGGAATCACTTCTTGACCATTGAAACGGTCTTAATTATTACGTAACTCTAAAATCATAATCCATTGCAAAAATGGTTAACCAGTTTGATTTTTCGAATATGTATTAAGTGCTATTATTGTGCAATTAAAATTTGTCCGGACTTGGTGCACATGTAGTGCAGAGCTGTCCTAGCATATATCTGCACTGGGGCACCATGAACAAGTAGGTATCAAAACATCAGTATCGAATGTTAAAATCTGTCCTATGCCTTAGGTAATAATTCATGCGAACTTGAAAAATGAGTATATATGTATAACCTGTATTGAAATAAAAGTTTAGATCTAAAAATAATCCTATTTGCCCTTGGCTAGAAAAGAATTTATTTCTCTCGACACATTTGAATGTCAGCTGACATATAAGTTGTAGGCAACATGGACCTTATTTGACTGACCTATTTCATATTCCCAGTGAGAATACAGGAATGCAAAATGTGAAGTTTTAAATTCTAAATTAGTTATGGTCAATCAGATAAGTTTGACTACCTGCTTAATGTAATAGATTGTACGATATTTACAATGCTGACGAAAGAAATAAATAAGAATGGGTATACCCTATAAATACAAGTATCACGCGATCTATCAAGTTAGTGATGACGAAATCTAGTTTATTTCTGGCAAGTAAAATGTACTTGATATTTATCTTTATGTAAGTCTACTGTAATTATTAGGTGGTCAAAATGGCTATCGGACTCCAATTGCTGATATACTTTCCAAACTGAAGTAAGGCAGAATACAAGTGTCATGAACAACGATGGAATTATATACAGAGAGAGTGTTGACCTATTATGCACCCCAATTTCGGTAAATATATTACCCGTGCTTACCATTACAAACTCTGTTCTAAATGTGCAAACAATTCTATAAGCTATAAGAAAATGACTTTTCAAACCAGAACCTAAACATGCTAACCCGCACGATTACTTACTTAACTTTACCTTGCTGTCCGGTACATTTTAACCTATACTGCTCCTTCTGACCGTTAAATTCTGAACTTATCTCTGTACTACCCTTTCTTTCACCATATAACCTTTCAAATTCTAGCCATACTAGTTCTACCCTTTCCAACCTGAAATAACCTTTCCGACTTGAACTTACCATAACCCTTTCTAACCTGATGTAACGTTTCGAATCTATACTAACCTTTTTAACCTGATCTAACCTTTCAAACCTGTACCACCCTTTCTAACCTGATCTAACGTTTTAAACCTGTACCACCCTTTCCAACCTGATCTAACGTTTCTAATCTGTACTAACCTTTCTAACCTGATCTAACGTTTCAAATCTGTACCACCCTTTCTGATCTAACGTTTCAAATCTGTACCACCCTTTCTAACCTGATCTAACCTTTCAAACCTGTACCACCCTTTCCAACCTGATCTAACGTTTTTAATCTGTACTAACCTTTCTAACCTGATCTAACATTTCAAACCTGTACCACCATTTCCAGCCTGATCTAACGTTTCTAATCTGTACCACCCTTTCTAACTTGATCTAACGTTTCAAATCTGTACCACCCTTTCTAACCTGATCTAACCTTTCAAACCTGTACCACCCTTTCCAACCTGATCTAACCCTTGCTAACCCGAACTAGCCTTTGAAACCTGTACTACAATTGCTAACCCGAACTAGCCTTTGAAACCTGCACTACCCTTGCTAACCCGAACTAGCCTTTGAAACCTGCACTACCCTTGCTAACCCGAACTAGCCTTTTAAACCCGCACCACCCTTTCTTACATGAAATAACCCTTACTACCCGTTCTAACCTGAACTAACGTTTCAAACCTGAACTAACCTTTGAAATCTGTACCACCCCTTCAAATCTGAACTAACCTTTCAAGATCTTTCTAATCTGATCTAAACTTCAAGCCTATATAACCCAAACTAAGCTTACAAACCTGTATTGCCCTTTCAAATCTTTACTTCCAATCCAAACTAGCCATTGAAACCTGTACATGTTCTAATACACCCTTTCTAATATTTCAATCCCTTGTAACCTTTCAAACCTTCTCTACCCTTTCTAACCTGAAATAACCTTTCAAATCTGTACTACCCTTTCTAAACTGATTCCACTGGTTCTTACATCCGTACATACATGTTGACCTGATCGCGTTATTCAAAGAAAGAAACCAGAAACTTGATGTAACATTTGTGAGCATGACAAATACTCTGCTTTGTCAAAGAGTTGAAATGTATTTTTGCCATTGGCATTGCAGAAGCAGTTTTTCGGCCGTCTCCTCTCAGTGTCGTTAGTTCATCAATTATGGTCACAGTATTCAGTAAGGCATATTTAATGTGACTGATGCCATTATGTCGGTTCAATGGATAGCCAAGAAATATTGCTTTGAAGTCCCATACTGATCGATAATATGGAATTCCTAGCTGTAGAACTAGCTTTGATCTAATAAACAAGATTGGGAAACAGAGAGCATATATTTTGAAGTTTCCTACCACATGCTCATTGGTAAATTGGTAAATTATACCAGCCATAAAATGATTTTGGAGTTGTGCCAGTACATTTGTATGAGTGTAGATCATTTTTTATCAGCAAATTCATATATTTAAAGGGATATTGTATAATAAATACAATAAATTATTGTAAATAATATAATAACTACTCTAGTCCTACGTATTTGATCGATATTGTCTGGATTTATTTCGAACATGTCCAAAAATTTAGTAGGGTAGCCTATATCTGATTAGCTTCTTACTTTATAGAAAGATCAGAAATGAAAAGTAAAAAATGGATTTTTTCGACAAAGTATCTTTATATTTTTCTTCATCTTTTCTTTCCTTCAACCTGACAGTAAGTATTAAACTGACCAATGATTGACAGTAACCTGTAAATACACAATCATAAGTTATTTCTCATAAAAAAGTGAAATGATGAGGTCAGCAGGCGGTGGTTGATTTATCAAATACTGATAACAAGGTATAAGATATTTTATTTTATCTTCAATATCAATTTGGAAATGATTTAGACGGTTTGCCCTTGGATTTGACCAACCATGCACCCTATCGAGAGCCAACAATTTGATTGTCACATGCCAAAAGATAACACCAGTACTTTTTGACCAACAACATTCCATAAACATGTACTAGTATATATTAGTTTACTTATCTATACACTGTGTCTCACATTACATTAAGGCCTAGATAATTTGTAAACAATTTTAGATCATACGGAATACTTTATGGATCTATTATAATTTTATCTAATGTAAATTTTCCACACCTTGAATATCAAATGGCTCGACCAGAAAAAAGCTTATGAAATAGACATTTTGAAATATTCTTACGCAAGTTCATTTTAGGCTGTAATCCTAATGGATTGACTTCAGTTGTGGCAGTTCTAGTGGTGGAGCCAAAGGGGCATGTTTTTCGGGCAAAAATCTCATAACTAGGTTAGAAATACGGGCAACCCTCAGATATTTCGCCCCCCCCCCCCCTCCTCGGACGTAAACCTGGCTCCGCCACTGGGCAGATCTAGATATTTCAGAAAGAGGGGGTACGCTTTAACCCTGATTATTACGGTCTTAATGGACGTCAAACCTTTTGGACACGTTAGTATTTGTGTAAAAAGACATGAATTTAAATCATAGATGGATATAACGAGACAGCCAAAATACATGACTAAAATCTACTCACTTCACTTTAAAATGCCCTTTAATATAAGACATAGCTATGTAGGTTATATAATAACATGTATAATTTATGTTCGACACCTATCTGTCCAATAGGTAGGTATATAGGTATAATACGGGATTAATTGTTATATAATATTACATTGATAATATACTCTAATAACTAAAGGTGACTGGGGTCAACAAACTTTTAATATAACTTGAGATTAAAACAAATAACCAATTGTTATGTTATCTTCAGTGTAAATATTTCCAGAATGAGTTGTTTATATTTCTACTTATTATTATACAGTACCAATGATGAGAAGATGGGGTGGGGGCAGGCTTAGTACAGGCTTAAAATTAGTACAGGTACTAAAAATAATATGAATCTACCTATGACGAACAATATGTTATAACATACATCGATTCAGAAAATGTAATATATATCTTATTTATATGAACTTAATATAATATATATTATGAATTAGAAAATATATTAGAACCATTCAATCGAAGTGCCATGTAACTAGGCATAAATTAATATAAATATGTTGCCACCATTAATGCGTTACATTTATTGTATCTAACAGTAGCGTAAATTAAGCAATACTTATTCACTGAGGGTCGTTACATTAATTACAGCGACACAATGCGAATATTGAAACCACGTATATAAAAGAAATGAAAATGAAATGATTTGAGATTTACGTCTTTCTGTGTGTACAGGAAATGCCTATTTTATGAGAGTACAATCCTATTAGGAAATGTTTTGGTCTGAATAAATCGAGCAATGTGCAGTTTATCATACTAATATTTTATATTACGTGCACTTTATTGAGGCAACTTATGGAGAAATATCAATAAATAAAGTTGTAAC